TCGGTGCGTCAGGCAAGTGGGTAGTGAGCCTGGGTATAACCCACTGAACGGAGACTTATAACCATGGCTTTGGTGGGTTGTAACCAGGCTTACTAGCCACTTATTAAGTACCCTGCCCCGTTGAGGTATACCCATACCCCTTTAAAAGGGTTGATTGAAAGGGCCGTTTGGCAGTATCCTGTTTTGGATACCCGGGTACCCCTGATTCAAAGCGTGAACAAAGGGAACTCGGGTTCAAAAGCTCAGGAGACACTCACTGAAGTCCCTGTGGTTCAAAGGAACCTTTTGACGCGTTCCACCTGATACAACCAAGCAGGTGATACCTTGAGCTCTCCCCTTTCCAATCTTGGAAGTGGACAATTCTGTCAGTCCTTTTGCCACGTTTTCGGGGGAGCGACTTTGTTTGGATAACCTTCATCTTCAAAACCCTCCCCGGCGGTAAGGAATGAACGGAGCCCAGACCCCAAACGAAGCACTGTTCCCATATTCTCAACACGCAGGTCCAAACACAGCACATACTATGAATGAACAAAATCCACTTCGCGCCAGTCGGGATGGATAAAACCTAATATGAGAACAAACTATAAACTGGGGTAAGCCACCCACATGCTGCAAAATGGTTCTCGTCTATCAGTACTGATCATTAACTTACACCCTAAAACTCCAAGCCCTGGGAAGTTAATCTTTTACAGACATATAGCCCATGTTACCCCCAAAAAGTTGAAGAGCTGTGTTTTTAAGAGGTAAGATAAACGTGACCGTTTCTCCGGGCCCCGGATTTGATTCTGGGAGGCAAGTCGCGAGAGACCGAACCCAATCGCCGGCGATCAGAAGCGCCCTCGTGCTGTCCCCATTTTTCGGACGACAAAGAGGGTCACTTGGGAGTCAATCTCAGGAACATCTACAGGAAACCTGGATTTCGATTGTACAACACTACTTCCCAACACCACCCCGCAGCCCTCGCAGAACCTGGTGGAACCCTGGTGGAACCCTGGTGGAACCCTAGTGGTGGAACCTTGATGGAACCCCACCCCGGAGCCTATCTGGGCTGAGACCCCAAAGCTTTCAGCTGTTGGGCAAAAAACAAAAAAGGGTCGCTGTCCTTTTGGCTTCCCTTTGAAACCACAAAATGGTGGAGGTACCCTCAGAAAAATTGTCCACGGCCCCATATTTGGGTCGTGCGACCTTTGGCCAAGGTCAAAGGTGGGAGAACCTGAGCCCCGGTCTCAGCGGTGGCGTCTTCTTGTTGGCCCATGGCCTCATCTGCGACACGATGCTTTATCTACTTGTTTGTTTATTTTTGGGACACATGTTACTGTTTTATTTTAGCGTGTTTTTGCTCCGTGGCGATCTTTTGGGCGGGAAAAAAAAGATGGCACTGGTGCGAAGGTAAATGACTAGATGCAAAGGGAAACCTCAAACAACTCCCGATGTGGGCATAGGCGTCCCGTTTTTGATGTCCCCAAAGGAAATGGGATGGATCCATTCTACAGTGCCATCTATTAAACCTAAAAAGGACACCTGTGCAAGTGAGTCTACCCCATGGAAGGAGACAGGAAACCAAACCCTGCTTTTAACGCCAGGGTGCCGAAACTGGGTCCTCCAGATTTGAGAGGTTAGAATAAGGGTACCCTTTTTTCTGTAGTCTATTTTAGTAGGGGACCCCTCCCCCCCAAAAAATGGTGAAAGGGCACCACTGGGGGATCTAGGAAAACAGAAGGCTAAATGGAAGACTGACCCTTGCGGAACCCAAAGGGGTGTTATGCGCATGAGGTCAAAGCACCTTCCACCTGGGTCCTGATTCCCCACACACGTACTACTGAAACATGCTTCAAAAGGGTACTAGTACCTCAGCCTATGTTTGCCAAGCCCCAACCCCCCGAATTGGTGGAAGGAGCCAATTCTAGAAATTGTGAAGAGTCAAACGCTAAAGAAAGTCTTTTGGTGCTGGACCCACAATTCAATGATCATAGCAGCGCCAACAAACATGAACCCGCAGCCGTCGCTGCTCGGACACACGCACACGCACACAATACTGCCTCTGCTCTCAAAAACAGTGCTGCAGCCTCACAACAGGCAGGGTGAATGAGTGTTCTGACAAGGCGTGAGGTAAAACGATAGCGCTTGCAAAGACAAGGCCAGGAAGATACAGCGGCACACAGGCTTCATTGTGCGGACATTCCTTAACATGAGCTGGGCATGTCTTTTTGTGAGGGTAACATTCCTAAACACACCCAGCTGTACAAATATATAATAGGGGGTCAACAAAATATACTTTCCTGCAGGAAACGCTGAAGTTCACCCCAGAAAGCATGGTTTCACCTGTAAGAGTGCGGCTTTTGGGCATGATGACACCACAGAATTGATGCTTTTCCTGGCAAGTTCATGGTTTGCTGAGTACACCGCAGAAAGAAATGCGGCTTGTGGGCGAAGCTGTCAACCGTCTCAGCTCCGAACGCTGTCACCTTGATCAGCTTCTCGCAGGATGTCCAGCTTTTGCAAATGTCGCTCCTGTTTCGGGGGGGTTGCAAGATGAATCTGGGGTGCCCGTTTTCAGATCACCAAACCACACTGGGCTGTCCTCTCCCCAGATCCCCTGTTAAAAGTTTCACTTGACAATCTCCCATGCACTTGGCCAGGCTGATCCGACCGTTTTCAGATCCAAGTGACTAACTCTTAGCGGGTTCAAGACACTTGACCATCTCCTATGAACTTGACCTGCAGAAGGCTAGGTCCTTCAGAAGAGAGGCTAGAAAAAAGGGTACCCTTTTTCTGTAGTCTATTTTAGTAGGGGAACCCGCCCCACAAAAAAGGGTAAAAGGGCACTGCTGGGGGACCTAGACGAATTAGGCAAGTATATCACTTGTGTCTCCAGTGTTTACTAGTGAGACTCTGAAGGAAACCACCAGGGCCGGCCAAGAGCAAAAAGCAGGTAAAAGATCCCCCGTTCCTCGCCGCCCTCAGCTTCTGCAGGGCTAGGCTTGGCCGGCTGCCTGGCAACTTGGCTGCCCTGAGAAGGGGTCCTGAAGTGGAATCATCTTGGTATCAAATTATCCTTGGTTAACGTTGGAAGGGGAGCAACAATTTGTTTTTTAGCAGTTAAGTTGGGAATTCCCACTAAACCACAAAAAGCAAAGAACTAAAATGTTTCCCAACAACAACCATGTCTCGGTCTCATCCACACTTGGCAAAGCATGACTTTCATTCCATTCATGTGAGCCGTGGGTAGGAGGCAAAACACGACTCACAATTCAAAGTTGCATATCCTTCCCAAAGCTTCCCTTGATGAACTTCTCCAGTTCTGGGCTGTTTCTCTTGGACTACCCTCCTACCAACCAACATGGAACCCGACGTTTAAGGGGTCCTGACTTGAACCATTTTCCCTTTAAAGGGACCGGGTCCCTGTCAGGCTCCATGCTAGTTGGTGGGAGGGTAAGTCTGTCTCCAAAAGCAGCCAGAGAGACTTCTTGTCCGCCGCGGACTTTTGAGGCTTTGCCTCAGCAAATCGAGTGCGCTCCAAGCGAACATGCCTTCTCCACTTGCACCTGTGCGCAGCAAACATGTCGCCCCGCGTGAAGCCGTCACAAGCTTCCACACCAGTTGGGGAAACCAACAGGCAGGGATATGAGGAAAGCAGAAGAAAGGGTACTGGCAGCCACCTTCTTTTGGGGTTCTTGGTTCTACCTTTTTGGGACCACCTTCTTGCAACAATCATTGGACTATATTCTGCAACAAGGAAACAAGTCCAATTCTGGAGCGAAACATATTCCTAGCCTGTTCGAAAGCCGGGGGGCCTAATCCCAATCAGCAATCGCGCAATCCTTGCTCTGGTTGGCAATCTCGCAAATCCGCAACCCGTGCTGCGTGATCACTATTAGCAAACTCTAATCCGTAAACCGCGCAATCCGCAAGCCGCTAATCGTTGGGGATTTGGCTTTGAACAAGCTAGTATTCTGCAACACAAAAAGACATTCAATTCTGGAACAACACATGAAAAGACGCATCCGATTCAGGAACAACACATATTCTTCTGCAACCACAAACCCGTTCAAATCTGGAACAAACCATATTTGGAGCAACAGAAAACGCAGCCAATTCTGGGCAAAAGAATCCTGCAAAAACAACGCATCCGATTCTGGAACAACACATACTCTTCTGCAATCACAAAACGGTCTAATTCTGGAACAAACCATATTTGGAGCAACACAAAAACGCACCCGATTCTGGGAAAAATAATCCTGGAGCAAAAAAACGCATCAAGTCTGGAACAACACATATTCTTGGGCAACCACAAAACCGTCCAATTCTGGAACAAACCATACTTGGAGCAAACGAACGCTTCCAATTCTGGGACAAAATAATCCTGCAAAAACAACGCATCCGATTCTGGGACAACGCAGATTGTTCTGCAATCACAAAACCGTCCAATTCTGGAACAAACCATATTTGCAGCAACACAAAAACGCACCCGATTCTGGGAAAAATAATCCTGGAGCAAAAAAACGCATCAAGTCTGGAACACACATATTCTTGGGCAACCACAAAACCGTCCAATTCTGGAACAAACCATATTTGGAGCAAAAGAACACCTCCAATTCTGGGAACAACAATCCCGAAGCAAAAAAACGCATCCAATTCTAGAAACAACTCAATTATCATTCTGGAAACAACACATGCAACAACAAAACGGATCCACTCTAGGTCCTCCAGTAGAGAGAGGTTAGAATAAGGGTACGTAGTCTACTTTAACTTTAGTAGAAAGAACCCTCCCCCAAAAAAACGGGTGAGAAAGGGCGCTACTGCGGGACCTGGTCTACCTCCCGGAACACACCTTCTGGGAACAAACAAGTCCAATTCTGGGGCAAAACCAACCTGGAGCAAACAAAAAACTCATCCGATTCTTGGAACACCGCATATTCTGCAATCACAAAACCGTCCAATTCTGGAAGAAACCATATTTGGAGCAACAAGAAAGCCTCCTCCGATTCTTGGAACACCACTTAAGGTCCCAACGCCTCGCTTTTTCGTTTGGTCCTTCCGCTGGGCGTTCGCGCCGAAGGCATCTCCGCGGCGCCGCCGCGGGACTCCGTGGCTGTGGCGGTGGAGCCTGGCGGCACAGGGGGCGAAAGACGGGGGAGGGGGGGGTTGCCACGTTTTTTTGTTGGTTTTTAAGTGTGTTGTAGGGTGTTTTAGGGTTTTCTAGGTTTTGTTTAGGGGTGTTTAGTTGTTTTTGTTTGGTTGCTTTTTGGGTGTCTTAGGTTTTGTTTAAGGGTGCTTAGGTTTTTTGTTGGGCTTGTAGGTTATTTTTAGGGTTCTCTAGATTTTGTTTAGGGGTTTTCAGTTTTTGTTGTTGTTGTTTTTTTCTATATTTTTTTGTTTAGTCTTCTTGTTTTGTTTTGTTTAATAGGCTTCTTTAGGTTTAAGGCTTTTTTAGGGTTTTTAGGGCTTTTAGGGTCTTTTGGTTCGGGTTTCGTGGTTGGGCTGCCGTTGAACCGAATTTGTGGTTCCTCGCTGTTTGGTTCCTCGCTTCTTTTTTTTCTTCCGGATGTGGCGCCATTGTTGGGAGCTTGGTGTGGGCCAAATGTGTGCAATGTGTTTGGGATGTGGTACCATTTGCTTGGGGGCTGGGTTACAGGGAATCCAACAGGAACTTAACATGTTTGGAATCCCCCCTTTGACACATACCTATTTGCTTTAACAACCAGCCTTGGGCCCCTTGAAAGTATAAACAGTTCAACGAGACCGTCCGAATTGAAACATACTCAGGTGCCCCCTCAGGAAATCATTCCCCCAGTCAACAAAAATGTCACTTCAAACTGCAACCACCAGGTGATGTTGAAGCCATACAAAATAAATAAGTGAGGATATGAAAAGCAAAGGCCGCAACCCCTAAAAAGGTTCTAGAGACTTGTAAGAAGGGGTTCGTAGAAGCATTATTGATGCCTGAATGGGCCGACTGCTTTCTCACTTTGAAGGGGACCCCGAAGTGTTCCAGATTCAGTCGCCTCGCACCCTTCCAAAAACCCGGAGCCAGGCATCTGAGCTGCATAGTGAATGGAATACTCAGCACATTGTGCCCATGAAAGGCTTGGCCATGCGACCAAACAAATGCGGCCAAGGTATGCACTGAGCGATTCCTGAAAAAATGGCGCAAAGTCCAACAAAAGGAACCTGTAGCATAAAGCACCAGGGTTGTCCACTCACCAAACAGGTGCGCCCCTGTCGTATATGCCTGTTGGAAAAACTCGGGTAAGCACAGCATTCACGAAAAGCCATGCCAAATGCTCGCAAGTGGCGGGGGGGGGGGGGAGGGGGAACCGCCTTCGTGTGGAGTGCACCTTGCCTGTCTCGAGGGCCGAGTTGGGTTGAATCTTGCAGAAGCACAGGGGAATTGGGATCCTACTGTGGGTGGACGATGTTGTTGCACCACCTAAACCCTGGTTTCTGATGATTCGCCTGTAAATACCAACAAACAGAGGCTTCAACCATGGTTTCAAAGTGGTGCGAATCGGATTTCGTCCATCCACAGTCTTGCCAGGATGGAATCCAGAAGCAAACCAGTCCAGTATCGCCTCCATGAGGGAGGCGTGTAATTACCGTTTGGGGGGGGGGTTGGCACAGGAGCAATAGGTTGGAGAATTCCCTCAACAGCTCACGGAAGTTGGACGCCTCCGCGCTCGTCCCCGGCTGAAGCATCAGCATCTTGTTGGGCTTGAGACCTCAGCGCAACTCAGCCAAGGTTGGTGGGTGGGTTGGTCGGTAGGTTGGTAGGTAGGTAGGTTGGTTGGTAGATTGGTAGATCGCCTGCAAACAGCATGTTGGGAACATGTTGTTGACAATTCGTCGGAATGGTTGTGATGCTCCATTAAGCATAATGCAAAGCAACCACAAGCCACGTAATGCGGCAGCTCTTGGCTTGAGTCAAACTGTACACGGGCCGGAGTTCGGTCCAAAGTAAGCGGTGATCTTTGCCTTTTTCAGTTATCCAACTCGTTTTGACATATTACCTCTTTGGGGTGAAAGTACCCGAGCAGGAACACATACGCTGTAAAAGCAGGGATGTCCCTTCTTGTGAGGAACCCCAAACTGCAGTCCGCCAAAATGAGGTATTTCCTATGGACGGGGTTCATTCTGAAAACAGGGGTAGGTAAATGACAACCCATTTTTCTGTATCCCGCCCTTCGCAAATCAGAATGAAATCTGGCCGCCGAAAGGAGATTCCCATTCGGGTCTTTGGCTTGCCCTCCAATGCAAAGCTGATGGGAGGATGTCACGTTGCTTTTGAAAAGCCACCAATCACCACCTCATGTTTTTTTTTGGGAAAAAGGTGGGTCTGTTTGCTTGTGGGGCAATTCGCCCTTGCGAAAGGTGGCTTCAAAAGGAGAGCAGAAGGAAAACCGGCCATTTTGTTGGGTCCAACCTTACAAGACACACACCGCAAAACAATACTTTCGCCGAGTATTTTCCTCTCCTCCTCTCCCATGTCGCAACCTTGAGCGCCCAGCTCAAAGTTTGCCGCCTCCCCCGTGCTGCCGCCAAAGACTTGGTCGTCCTTTGACTTTGAAAGCCTCCCTGAAGAGCGGTTCAGCGACCCGCTTGCTGACCCCCAACCCGTTTTTGTTGTTTATTGGGCGGAGTGAAAAACTGGTTTGGGGTTCAAAAAGGGTTGGGCGCGAAAGCCAAAAGGTAAAGGGGAGTGAAAAACTGGTTCGGGGTTCAAAAAGGGCCCGTTTTTGTTGTTATTGGGCGGAGTGAAAAACTGGCTTGGGGTTCAAAAAGGGTTGCTCAACAAGGGATGCCGTTTTGTTGGACCCTGTTGGACCCTGTTGTGACCCTTGTAAAAGGACGAATGCAGAGCACCCTTTCGGCCTCAAATTTGGAACTCGCTTCTTTTTGACCAAGCGTCTTACAAACTCCAAGAAACAGAACGATCCTTAGAGGCATCACATAATCATTTCAACTATGTGACAAAACATGAATAGTACGTTCAGCAATGTGTGAAAATATAGACCTTCCAAGCGACTGGCCTCCTTTCAATTCATGAAACCAACAACGTCGACCAGCAAGCGTGGCAAATATCCGACGTGTCTTGTCTTAAAATAGGGAGGCCCAAAAAATTGTAGTTTTCTCATTGGTCGCCCTTTACAGCAACCAGAAAAAGACATGCCTACTGTGCTGTCAAGAGCACACAGCTCCTGCTGCTGCCGCTGCGGGGCTGTGGTGTCCTGGTGCAATCACAAGGGTTCCCCATGATTTCCTTTCAGCATCCCTGCCACAAAAAACTCCTTCTCGTCAGCCGAACCGGTGATGCCCATAGGTGTCCTTCTAGGGCAACTAGATGGCCCTGGTAGATGACTAAACCACCAACCAGGGCCGTCTATTTTTCTAGCAAAACCACCAAACAGGACACCCATGGTGATGCAATAGGCCCACCCAAAGGGGAAAAAGGGCCCCGGGAGGGCGGCGAGCAACTGGTTCTTCGCTGTGAGAGGCGAACCTTGGCGGGAAGGCACGTATGTATGTGAAGGTTCTTCTGCGTTTCCGTGTCCAGCTGCGGATATCGACATTGGCAAACTCGGGTGTGGGGTACGCAGCAAACGCGTCACCCATTGTACTCTTGGATCCATGGCAGTGCTCCCAGCAATAAGACTTCTGGCACGTCTTCAATGAGAGCAACACGTAGCACACCCCAACAGGTCCTACGCAGAGCACTGACAGTTGTTGCACTAGAGTTATAAGCCATCAACATCCATTCACAGTCATCGTGGTGGCATGCTCTGCAATGTTAAGGCCTTGTTCCGAAACAAACATAAAGTCCTGCTGCTGCTTTCAAAGGATGCTCCCAAACGAATTGATGTATTGATATCGCGTTCCCATGTGGAGTGGGAAAATCGCATCATGGATTTCTCCACTTGCAGTACTTGCGGCAGGCTTGCCCCATCATAGCACGTGCTTGCACGCAACAAACGAGGGCGCTCAGTTGTGCTTTTTTTTACAAGGACAACTAAAGGGAAAACCACCATGTGCTGTTGAATGCTTAGAAAGGGGGGGAATGCATCTCCGAGAATGGCTGCAACGAGTGCGACTGCTTGCTGGGGATGTGGCTAACATGGCAGTCTCAATCACAGGATACCTGGCGTGCTCGAGGTGATAAGTGCTAATGTCCCTTGTGGGCCTCATGGCCCAATGGCAACTTTCCAAACCGCCAGTTCCCAGCCTTGCCAGAGGCATCGGCGCCAGGGTCGCCTTGCTTGGGCCTCGGGAATCTGCGAGGAAAACCACTCCGACTGCCTACATTTCACGCACAAAAACTCAGACACAGACACAAAGACACACGGACCCACAGACAGACAGACACACAGACACACAGACACACAGACAGACAGACACACAGACAGACAGACACACAGACACATTTACACACAGACACACAGACACACAGACACAGACGCACAGACGCACCGACGCACGGACGCACGGACGCGCAAACGCACGGACGCACGGACGCACGGACACACGGACGCACGGACAAACGGACGCACGGACGCACGGACGCACGAACGCACGGACGCACGGACGCACGGACGCACGGACGCACAGACGCACAAACGCACAGACGCACAGACGCACAAACGCACAGACGCACAGACGCACAGACGCACAGACGCACAGACGCACCGACGCACAGACACACAGACACACACACACAGACACACACACACAGACACACACAGACACACAGACAGACACACAAACAGACACACACAGACACAGACACACACACACAGACACACACACACACAGAGACACACACACACAGACCCACACACACACACACACAGACACACACACACACACAGACACACAGACACACAGACACACACACACAGACACGCACACACAGACACACAGAGACACAGACACACACACACACAGAGATGCTCAGAGACACACACAGAGACACACAGACAGAGACAAACAGACACACACACACACAGACGCACAGACAGACACACAGACAGACACACAGACAGACACACAGACAGACACACAAAGACACACAGAAACACGCACAGACAGACACACAGACAGACACACAGACAGACACACAGACAGACACACAGACAAAAAGACAGACAGAAAGACAGACAGAAAGACAGACAGAAAGACAGACAGAAAGACAGAGACACAGACACACAGACACGCACAGACACACACACACAGACACGCACACACACAGACACACACAGACACACACAAACACACACACACACACAGACACATACAGACACACACACACAGACACACACACACACACAAAGACACACAAAGACACACAGACACACACAGACACAGACACACACAGACAAACACACACACACACAGACAGACACACAGACAGACACACAGACAGACGCACAGACAGACACACAGACAGACACACAGACACACACACACACAGACACAGAGACACACACACAGAGACACATACAGACACACACACAGACACACACACAAAGACACACAAAGACACACAGACACACAGACACACACAGACACAGACACACACAGACAAACACACACACAGACAGACACACAGACAGACACACAGACAGACGCACAGACAGACACACAGACAGACACACAAACAGACACACAAACAGACACACAGACAGACACACAGACAGACACACAGACAGACACACAAACAGACACACACACAGACACAGACACAGAGACACAAACACAGGGACACAGACACAGAGACACACACACAGAGACACACACACAGAGACATACACACAGAGACACACACACAGAGACACACACTCACACACACACACATCACACGTCTTGTGGCTGTCCTGAGATGCATGCTAAAAGTCTGACTTTGCTGGGTGAAATGGAAACTACCACTACACCAAGCACCTAAGACCCAAGGAACCGGATGGCTAAGCACCAAGACAGCAGGGGATCTGGAACCGACCAGCCGCACGTTTTTTAGACGCTCCAATCGAGTGCGGAAGAAAAAAAAAACTCGGCGCCAAGGCAAACATCCCATGCAGCATACCCGCCTGGGGATTACTACGGACCCCAGAAGAACTTTAATAGAGGAACCTCCTCTTGAGGGGGGCCTTTTTGGTTTCGACCAGTGAGTCAGTCTCCCGGATGCGAAAGAGCGCACCAACTTATCTTGCTGGTGCTCAGTGGCAATGAGGAAACAAACCTGGGGATTCCCGAATAAAGAACACATAGGGATGGCTTCTAGGGGTCATTTCCTTATGTACTGCGCACCAGCAACTTATGGCGCAGACTTTGCATATCAAGAGTATAGACTCACATACGATCTCAGGTTACCCGCCTGAAGAATCCTGAAGCTCAGGGTGATATCCCCGCAGCCCTTGGAAAACCTTGTGGAACCCTGGTGGAACCCTTGCGGAACCTTGCCTCAGGGCCGCCCCGGACCACCCCGGTGCCTATCTGGGCTGAGACCCCAAAGTACCGCGCGTCACAGCCATCTGGGCTCGCCGTTTTTTCAGATTCCCCGCTGAAAGTGCCGAACTTTTAAAGGAATACAAGGGGAAACCCAACCACTAAAACCTATGCTCAACAAACCTAGCTTCCATTTGGTTAAGACCAATGGAGAAAAAAACATATACATATATATATATCTGTATATGTCCACTTGTGATAGATTCCCTTTAAAACCAACAGGGGAAAATTCACAACATATTCATTTCAGCAAATGGAAGCTAGGGGGACGGCAAGGTTTATTCTCATTTCCCGCAACATGCTCTGAGTTCAGCGGCTGCTCCGGCTTGTCCTCCATGGACTGCCTTGGACGTGGACAGACACCCTCCCTGTGGTTTGAAGGGCGTCAAATTCCTTGATCTGGCTTCCTGCGTGGAGTGGCCCAAAAAACCAACCACCTAAATTGTGCTTCTTCGTTGCCACCAAAATGGGCACCAAACCCACAAGAAGTGATCATCAAGGCCATGAACTCGGGGAGGAGCTAAGCCAACTTGCACCGAACTTGCCCCCTTCAAAGGCGCATAGGATCTATCCTTATCCAATGGCTCAGAAGTCTGGCATCTGTGGGGTTCATGCTGAATCCACGGATTTCGGGTGTGCCTTACTTGTGGGGAATACAGGGCCCTCCCAAGGGCCGAAGTCTTGGCAGCGAAGGAAACCCTTTGGAAGCCGGATAGCACGCGGGGTCCCGTGGCTTGGATGTTCGGAGTTCAACCCGTTCCTTTTCAAGCCAGCAAGAAAAGGGAACGCTCAAACAAACACACAAACCAACCAGCCAACCGACCAACTAACCAACCAACCAACCAGCCAGCCAGCCAGCCAGCCAACCAACCAACCAACCAACCAAACAAACAAACAAACAAACAAAGCAGTCAACCATGGCTTTCCACTTGGTAGGTTCAGACCTGAGACATCGACGCCTTGGAGGGGTCCACGTCAGGCTTAGCTTCTGCTGGGTCCTCCGGCGCAGACGAGACAGGAGCACGAAAAAAGTGAAGCATGATCCCAAACCAAACCGGAGACCCCAGTCTTTACCATCCCTTGCTTCTATTTGGGTATCTACCTGGTGATTGATCTATTGAATGGATCACTGGTTGGTATTTTGGTTCCGCCTTTTCAAAACCAACGAAGCACAAGGGCCGTACATATTGCTTGGAATCGTCACCCTAAGCTTCACTCACTCGACTGATTGTGGCTCTGACAGAGCTGCCCCCTGCAGCTTATGAAATACCACCATACTTGCCGGACCAATTGAACCTGGCAAGGGTTTCAAGCTGGTTCCCCTTTTCACTCAATAGGGGGGTTCCTTTTCCATTGTCGATTAAAACCACCCAGATCAACCGAAGCTTGTTTCCCGGAATGCACGAACAGCTTCTGAATCTTGCAAGGGAACGAGTTGCAAATGATCTAATTCCCTACACCGGTGTGTGTTTAAGCAGGACTCGGAGGACATGTCAACACCAGCAAGCATTCTGCAAGCAGAATGCTAAGGGACATTGAATGAGCACTGGCCCAAATAATGGTCAAACCACCAAACAGGCTGACAGGCTGATGTCTAAGTCCGCAAAGCGGAGCATAAGGATCCCTAAGTGATCGTAGACATCAGCGCTCGAATTTAAAGAGCTAGGGTTTTAGTCGTTGGTTCCACTTTCTAAGATATTTATACCAAGGTGCCATTTTGCAAAAAAACAAACAGAGCCACTGCCACTTGGATCAACACACCAACCTGGGCTGCCCTCAGATCCCCCGCTGAAAGTTTAACTTTTAGTGGGTTAGATGGAAACTACCACTAAACACACGGATCCTTACATTATACACCTGAACATTGCAACTTGTAAATGGCGGTTTCCCTTTATTTTGGTGTTGAACAAGCTATGTTTCAACTGGCTGCAAAATGTATCGATCGTTTTTCCGGAGCCCTGTAAACACTAAAAGAAAATAAAAAGCGAAGGAACCGGATGGCTGGGAGCCACCAAGCAACACACCTGTACCTGAAGCTCCGGAACCCGTCGGCTTCTTCCCCGGGTGCCCTTTCAGGCCTCGCCCCTGTCTTCGCCCTTGGCCTCCTCTCCCTGCACCTGCGCGGCCAGCATCCAGCCCTATGGACGGAATACGAATGGCACCACGTTGAAACCATGGTTGAAGCCACTGTTTGCTGGTATTTACAGGGAATCATCATTCCAGGGTTTCTGAGCGTGGTGTAGGATTTCGCCCACCTCGTTCTTTTCTTTTGGGGGGGGGGAGGAGAGTACCGATTGTGGGGTTGTTTCTCTTAGTCGAGCCAAAAGGAAAACCACCCATTTTGGGGGTTCCCTGAGACAACCCCATATGAGTGGCCGAAAACATCTATGGGTGTTAGCATAGTTCCCTAGGGATCAGAATATGGTCATCCCTGTACAGGTGCCAAGGTCAAACTAGAAACCCCAGTGCTATTGTCTTTGAATCGCCGATGGTTAACCCTCATTCTGCAGCTCCCAGAAAAGGGAGGACCATATCCCAAAGGGCATTCTCCCCAGACTCGGGCAGCCGACGAAAGGTTTTGGTCAACACCAAGCACATGAGGGAGAATTTCACAGGGTGTCGGAGCCTTCTTGGGTCTATGGCCGGTCATCTTGAAGTCCAAATACTTCCCACTCCATGTCGATGTTGAGATGCGGAGAACTCACTGTTTCCAATTGAGCTTCCGAAAAACAACTCAAATCCTCTAGGACTCAACGTACATGGGTTACAAACAAGACAAGGGCAATACGTATCTGTGCGAATCGCTTCAAGGGAACCAGTTTCATTAACCTCTACAACCCTTGGTAGCAAAGAACTTGTTCTCTTTACAGCCCCCTACTAAAAACAAAGAGAACCAAAGACCCCAAAATAACTAAACACTTGCTAAAAACAAACAGAACCAAACAACCACTAAACACTTGATCCACCCACCGTCTCATTGAAACTTCCTTCGCCTTCGGGTTGCCTGGCAAAGGCCAAGTCGCCAAGTCGACCGAGTCGACGCCCGGCTGAGGCCCGGGCACATGGCTGAACACCCTCGGGCCTCCGAAGACCAAATGAGCCACTTGCTCAAAACCCGGTACTGAAATTGGGGTAACCATGGTAACCCCAGAACCATGCTTCAGGAAGTAAGAAGGCGGATATCCGCAGCTATTTTATGGCAAGGGCATTGTCCCTTGCCAACCTTCATCTACCCGGGTTTTGAGTGTGGCTCACATGCTGCGAGGCAGAAACAATCCCCCAGCGAGGCAGACCCCGAATCAACGCGGTGAAAACAAGATCGACATGGAATCTGGATGTCAAAGACGGAATGGGAAACTGTCGGAAGCAGAAGGGCAAACTTGGACCAAGCAAACAACATCCGGAAATCAGGGGCTAGGGAAACTGATGCGAAACCCAACATGGAGAGGGACATGGACTTCCCTATTTCAGCAAAAGGGGTGCAGCTATTGAAAGCAAAGGGTCCAACTGGAAATGGGTGTAAACACCAGTAGGACTTTGTGCAGGAATGATGATTCAAGCTACCAGTTGCTCACCACTGGGACATGCGCCCCCGACAAGTATGTCAAAAATGAGAATCGCGTCCTGTCGCACTAATCTTTTCTAGAAGCCCAACTGGTCTTGGCACATACCAAAATGCACGTGTCAGTTGACAGACTCACTCATCGATCCAAACGGATCAGATCAGGGGCTGCGGCGCTTGCGGTTGCTCCTCTGGCACCTTCTCTTGCGGAACCTCAAAGGACGGTCAGGGGGGCAATCCTTGGTTGACGTTGGAAGGGGAGCAAAAAATTAAGCTTGAGCAGATAAGTGGGGATTTCCCACTAAACCACCATAAGCAAAAATGTAGAATGCGTCCCAACAACAACCATGAATCACAGTTTGTGTTACATCTAAAATCTGGACAAAGTGCTCAACTAAAGCTACGAAAATTTGGGAAAATCACTCCCTTTCAGTGGTTATTCGGGAAAATAACTCCCTTTCAGTGTTTCTTTCGAACGGGGAAAGCCTTGCCTGTGAAGCGTTTCCCGTCAGAAAGCCGAAAGAAGTCCCAGAGTTCGTTCGGGAACCTTCGAGAACCATGTGGATGGGCCAAAAACATTGGGGGGCACATTGGGGACTGTCCAATTGTCCCAAAATGTACCAAAAAATATGTCCAATTCTACGAGGTCATTCAAAACTGAGAAGAACAAGTGGTAAATGGCCTGTATCTGCCGTCGATAATGGTTTTCTGGGTTCTGAAGGGATTCTACGGCCGAACGGGTCGTTGCTACCTGCGAGAAAAAGTATCACGCCTTCACCTGCCAACCGGGTTTTGAGCCAAAGCCGACCAAAACCGTCCATTTGCTTCAGTCTGGAAAAACAAAGTCCAGTACTGATAGATTTCCCTTTAAAACCAACAGTGGAGGAAAAACACATGTTCAATTCAGCCAACCCCAAGTTCTTAAAAATTTGGCTAACTTTTGCGCCCACGTTTTTGTGCAACAGTGAGGGAAATACGGACTACGGGGGCGCCCATAGATTCCATGGCTTGCCCAAGCTGGGCGCAGGACGCCTGGCTCCGCCGCATCCAGGTCGCCCATCTCCTCGCGGAGTTGGCTTCGGAAGCCTTGCGCCTGGGGACCTGCGGGATTGGCCCGTTCCGCCCTCACATGGAACCCAGGTCCTCCTGAGAAGTCAGAATCCCCTCCCACCAGCTAACATGGGTTTGTGCACAGACCCCTGTAGAAAGACGACTTTTTTATTGGAAAGGGCCTTTTTGCACTTCCATGTTGGTGGGAGGGGTATCCTTTTTTGTAGTCTATTTTAGTAGGGGAATCCTCCGAACCAAAAAAGGGTGAGACAGGGCACTACTGGGGGACCTAGGAACCTGACGTTCGGGACCCGGTTCCTTTAAAAGGAACCCGGTCGAAACCAGGATTATCCGAACGTCGAATTCCAGGTTCTTGGCACGATATTTCCAAGCATCTTCGGGATGTCATGTCACTTCATCATCAAGGTGGCTGGCTTTTGTTGGCATCATGTCAGTTCGCTCGCGCATGTGGGGGAAACCTTCCTTTCGTAACTTGCCCTTGCTCTTCCCTATGGGAAATGAGCTGGGCAAACTGGCTTAAACAGACCCTGATCCCGTTGACAGAGTTAACAGAGAAGCCCGAAAAGAAAACGTGAGGTTCAAACCACAGTGGGTTCAACACATCTTAACAGGTGGTGGGTCCAGCCCTGGTCAAAGAAAGCTCAATCAAAGTGAAACTTATATCAGCTGCCCCTATGCCAGTCCTCATCACATTTGCTGCCCTCAGATCCTTGCTCGTCGTCGTCGCCGCCCTCGCCCTCCATTTCAATGTCCGACTGCAAAGGCACACTGGGCGCATGGGTCCACCAGAGAGCCTTTCAGAATTTCACAAGTAGACAGCTGGTTGAAAGGAGAACAGGACCCCATGAGAATTGTCTACCCTTGCGGTTTCGATGTTCGCCTTTCGCCGAGCAACAGGCAAAACAAAGATGGGCAGGGCCACTCCTCAGTTGCCCAAAAGAGCCTGGAACCAAAAGGTTAACCTTTCAGGGTGACTAAAAATGGGCCCAAAATGGGAAAGCCAAAAGGTCAAAAGGTCGATTCGCTTTGAACAACTGAGACTCTTAGTTCTGCAAGGTTGATGCGTGTCTGTCTATAGACCCCGAGATCGCCTTCGTCCAAAAACTTGGGCAAACCCGAGGCTCTCTACACGCAAAGGTCACTGGAGGTCGCTGGGGCTGATACCTGAGGACCTAAAATTGGGTTGGACCCTTTCACGCTGCCGTTTGATTGGAAACCAAAGGGGAAACAACCATTCCCATACTTGTGGAAACACAATCTTTCCCTCCATACTTGCAACCCCCAAAGAGTTCCATCTTGTTTGGGCTTTCTCAATCTGCGTGTTCTTTTGGGTGTCCTTTCGAACCCAACACTTCTACCCTCAGCAAAAGCACAGAGACATTTACTTCATTTCAGTCTGCCGCACTGCGCGCCTTGATAAAGTCATCATCCTCGCCGTCGCCCTCGCCCTCGCCGCCTTCGCCTTCGCCTTCGCCCTCGCCTTCGCCATGTGGGGATCTGCTTTTGAGGCGGGGTCCTTTTTCTGGGCCTCGGGAAAACGGGCACCTTGGTTTAAAAACACACCAATCTCCATGAACCCCAGGCGAACCGCACCGACTCCCGACGCTGACACGAGCGACTTGGCTGAGCAAAAAAAATCGATCGACATAACCCCTTTGTCAACATGAATATGGCCCCGAGAAGATGGTTTGTCAAACCTCATAGCGAGAGCATGCCCATTTAAGCTGTTTTCACCACAGCCAAGGTTTACGCCGATGACTGAAGAAAAAAATCAGCATTATGTGGTCGGTTTCATTTGATATCATTCACCGCAAGATGCCTGCGATCTCTGTCCTAATTGGAACTGGCATGCTGGTCAGACTAAACTCGAAACGAAGCAGGCACACACCATCCCCACCTTCTCCTTCTTGCCCAGCTCCTTCACCCGACCTAGTCAGAAGCAGAATGCACGGCCGACGTTGTTGGAGTCAGGTGGAACCACGACGCACTAAGCAAGCGGCTGCATGTTCACGTCGAACTGAGCGTCTTTATCTTCGAATTCCGTCTTCTCTGGCTCTTGCGGCTCCTGAATCATGGCCGTTGCACTTCGCCAGTGCTCATCTTAAGAAGCCAGTGGAGCTCCATCAAACAATTGTCAGGAACTGTGTGATTCAACTGATTGCAAATCGACTTTGGAGTTTATGGCGTGCAAATTGCAGCTGTCGAATTCGATTCGCACAGTCGGCAGAGATCCTGCTCCGGAGCTTCCTTCGAGTCTCCATTTTTCTCCTGTGTCTCATTCTTGGGCTCCTTCTTAGACTTGCCTGTGGAAGGACGCGCGCAATGGCAAAAAATACACAATTTGCAGGGAACATTGCTACACAGCCCCTCTTGCTGACAAGCTGCTGTCGTCGTCTTTGGCCGTTGTTTCCTGGCAGGCCACAAACTGAAGCGCCAAAGCAGCGGGGTACCTTCCAAGTAACAATATGTGCCGACAAATGTATATCTATATGAGTAAATAAAATATGTATGCTGCATGAGCCCCCTCCCTCCAAAGCCACCTTTTGCACCACACACCCTACCAAAATATACTTGTTTGCTGAATTTTAGTGCCATACTGCCCAATGTGGGAAAGGTGAACAACAAAGGCTAAGCATGCACCTGCTAATCTGCACTTTGTGCATGCTGTATTCTGTATATGTGCAATCCAAGATTACTTGAACACTTTGTAAGCAGATCTGGGAGCAAAATAGCGCGCAACATTTTGCAACAAAGTTTGAGTTGAAGGTTTAAGATCGTTGGTTGCCTGTCTCCCCCCTCACCCCCAGTCTTGGGGGGGGGGGCTGAGAACTTTTTGAACTTGGGTTTGAGGATTGGGCGCTCCAAAGACCTGTCAGACCCCCCCCAACCACAGCCAACCAACCACCCACATGCTTTCCCAAAACAAGTGTGGGTTTAGGGCTGGTTTAGGGGTAAGGTATGGTAAGGTCGTGTTCACTGATCGGCTCGCGTGCGGCCGCAAGCGTTTGCCAACGATCGAAAGCGCAGCGAGCATACGCGTGTGGAAAAAAAAGTTGCCGTGCCACTGGGTTTGCTGCGAAACGCGGCGATCTAATTGAGCTTGACGCGCTGAGTTCATTGCGCCTGTGCCTGAATCGTGTCCTCTACAGCGTTGCGTGTCGTTTCGCTGCGCAGGCGCAGTCTTGGACGGTCGCATGTTCGCATTGCCATGCCACTGTGATTCCTTACAGGGGTTACTTTCATGCATGTATGCATCTCCCTCCCCCCTCGCTAGACCCAATCGAGGCCTTTGCAAGGGCGGATCTATGTGATCTGTCCAAATCATTGTCCCACAGCAACACAAACTAAGGAATCCCAAAGCAGAACAAGTTTCAGATTGTTTTACCACCAGGTGAGCTTGTCATAACTAGTGCGATGTAGTTCAGAGTTGCTCCAAAAAAACGCTCAAGATGAACCATCAACAGATCCGCAGAAGAGCCGACATCTTCTCAGCTTCCCAAGGTCTTGGGCTTTCCATAGGTGTCCTTTTTGGGTGAAAATCGATGGGTTTCCCTGGTATTGAACCACCAGGAAATCAACCAAAAAGGACACTTATGCTTGTATCCCGTGGCTCCAACCACCCCAAGTCGGATCAGACTTTTCTGCCTTTAAAAAGAGGAGGGGTGCAACCAACTTCTCAAATCCGTTTCGGCCGGCCTAAGCAACATGCAAAACGGTCGCCGCGAAAGATGTGGGCCTTCACCGTAACCGCAAAGTGGTCGAAGAGACAGGTTTCGGACTCATCCGGTCTATTGGGCAAGCAAAAAGCGCGGCCCAACTCCCTTTCAGCAAGCATCCAAAGTGCCCAACTCGATTCATGAGATGAGGGTACTAGTACCTGTTTTGGCTGAGATGAACCTGAAAGGACCACCACCGCTTCGGAGCATTTCAGATATCCCAACTCACCTGACGCGAGGTCAGCTGCCATCAAACTCGCCGGGTCTGCTGCTTCTCCTTCCCCCTGGGCACCATGCGCCTGGCGTTGGCCAAACAGCCGGGTGCTTCGCACTCCCCGTCTTGGTTTTGATTTGAAGCAAACCAGGGTATCGATTGCAAAAAAAACAAAACACACGCTATGATTGTCTTTGAGTTGAAAGACGCTGTGTGTGTATGCCTTGTTGTGTCTGCTTGCGTCTCTGTCCGTGTCTGTGTTTGTGTTTGTGTGTGCTGTTGTTCAAAACACTCCAATGCTTTGTTTGTAACAGCAAAACAATCACAGGGTTGGTTCTCATAAACCGCGGTGCCGAACTCTGAGAGAACACCTGTCACCTTTTAAAGGTTGAAAGCCGACGTGTCAGACCAAAGGGAAGCTAATCTAGGTCCTCCAGTAGAGAGGTTAGAATAAGGGTACCAATTCTTTTTTCTGTAGTCTATTTTAGTAGGGGAACCCTCCCAACCAAAAAAGGGGTGAGAAAGGACTCCTAGCTGGGGGACCTAGTAATCGTCTGGGAAAGTCTGAGACCGTGTCTGGTGCGTTGTACGCCTGCGCCATGGGCCGAAGGGCTCCATGATTTGGACCACCTGTGAGTGGCAGATTAGTGTTCCGGTTTCCACGATCTGACTAAGCCCGATCTTAGGAATGAAGGGGTGCTCCCAGCATCAGCAAATGCATGTGTCCAAAAAGGAGGCCCATGCAACAGCTGGTTCTTGGATCCTCTCAATCCATGTACATGTTAGGTCCTCAAGGGTCTCTTGTAGATGATTTCATTGATTCCTGGGGAGCTCAACTGCACTGACCTGGAGCATCTGTTGCAGCCGCCGGGCCGAGCCTCGATCTCTTCGTCAGGACCCTTCTCCTTCTCCTTCTCTTCTGGAGTGTCACCTGAGTCGAAGGTTAACTACTTCTTGGGTGACCAAACTTCTCAAAGGACATGGCAAGTTGTCCGGTGGAGTGGACCTGGCGGTGCATCATACTCACCCTTGAGAAATGCAATGTGCCCCGTTTGCTTGGTATTTGCTTGGTGGACTTTGTACTACATGGCACCTAGCGCAAAAAACCCTCGAGTGCAACCCTGCAGGCCAACGGGTTGGCCATTTTTCCAGCCTCGAATAGGTCAAGCTAAATCTTGGCAGCTGCAGGACTCAGTCATTTTGGTTTCACTGGGCTGTCCTCAGATCCCCCGCTAAAAGTGACTAACCTTTAGTGGGTCAAACGGAAAACCCCACTAAACGCTAAAAAGCTAAAAGGCTAAGGAACCGGATGGCTGGGAGCCACCAAGTTCAAATTGAGCCCCCTGATACCAAAGTAGATCACAGGGTGCCGCTTCAAAGCAATTCAAGCAGAGAAAACCCCCTTGCTAAGAAGGCAGCGATTCCACGCAAACCCCTTGTATTAGAATGGTCTGATTACCCAGAACCATGTAAAGAATGATAAAGCCGGCCGCACTGGATTTGATTCTGGCTGGGACTGTCCCTTTTTCACCTTCACGTACCCGGGTTTTCATTGTGGCTCACATGAACTTCGCTCTTCGGACGTGGAGAAAAGGCTGGGGCCCGCTCCATCATCCTCCTTCTTGTCGTCCTCCCGCGAATGTCAACACTAAGCCCTCTATGTACTGGGTCGGTGTACTTTAAACAGAACCATCGCAAATCCATGGTAAGGATCCCCGTATTTTGGGCTGTCCTCGGATCCCCTGCTAACAGTGACTAACTTCTAGTGGCTAAATGGAAACCCAATGAACACCAAGGGAAGCGGATGGCTTGAAACCAGCCAAGTATTGACACCATAGACCTCCCCAATGCTCTTTGCATCATATGTCCATGGCCTCTGCAAACAAAAGCTTGCGAGATGCGAAATTCGCTCCACAGAAAGTCTACGCCGGGGTCAAAAAGTCGAACCCAGCAGCAAACCTTTGCAATGCCAGTCCCGAAAGCTTCGACCAAGACATGCGGCATGGACATGCGGTGCATCCGCAGACCGACTCAAACGACAACCCCCGGCAACCGCTGCAATCCACCGCCCGCGTCCCGCGTGTGCCTCATCGCCGTTCCAGAGCTTTTCATCCAACGCGCCACCTTTCGAGAGGTCCACTTCTCCTCAAAGCAATGCCAGTGCCAATGGCCGAGCACGTGCGGCCGACGAGCCGCACGGACATGGTGACTCATTCCGACACGAGCGAAGCAAACAAATCGAAGCGCGTGCCATCAATCTCTTTCGAGACACAGGGAACCCCTGTCTGAGAGTCCCGCCTTGTTGCCTGTCCAAGTCTTGCCTCAGCATTGCGAGAGCGCATCAATGCGGCGCGAGTCCAAGCGGGGCAAAATTGGTCGCACACAGAAGACATACCGCCTCGTATCCGATTGAAAAAAGGGTAACTGTGGTATGTGTTAAAGTTTGAAACACGGGACACGCAGGTACAGCATTAAGCTGCTGCAGGTTGAATGGTATATACTAAATTCCAAGCAATAACTCATCTCAATGGCGATTGGATGACACCAAAGGCCTGCCATGGTTGCTCCACTGCGGGCAGAGGGGGTACACTTCCCGGAGGGGGAAGATATGGCCATGGGTCAAAAGCCCGTACCTCCAGTGAACATCCCAATCCCCACTAAAAAAACTAAAATGGGTAGTGCACCTACCCCAAAGTGGTACCATTGGTTTTGACCCACAGCCATATTCGCGTGCTGACGACTGCTGCGACGCGAGTTCACGAGAGGGAGTCTCACCGAGGGGAAGTGGAGAAAATTGGCGCGCGTTGGAACGATCCGTTTTTGGATTCATAGTGTTAAGGTACAAGCTTAGTACCCCCAATGGACATACCTCACCTATAGTTCTTGTATAGGGATGGTTTTTGGGGTATGTACATTTCGGGGTATGCAAGTAAGAGGTCCCAACCAAACATTTTGACACCCCGAATGCCGCTCAGCCCAAAGCTGCTATTCTTCTTCTCTGGGCTGGGTGTTACAGGGTTCCCAGTTGGTTTCGTGCTAAACAACCACAGAAAGGTACCTCGAAAGTGTATATATATATATATATTGTGCATAGTTCCTTTTTCAACCATCCCCCCACCTAGAGGGAACTCAACTGAAGTTGGCCCAAAGGGTGACGTCTAAAGCAGAACAAGGTAAAATGTACGCAGCCCCGGGGTCAATTGGAATGGAACAATCACATGATCCATCCCCTCGAAGGGCTCGCTTCAGGGGAAAAGATCATGGGCAACTTGGCACTCCAGTAAACTTCGCAAGGGGTTATCGCTTGCAAAACACGATTGTGTGTGCTCTCCAAAAGGACATGGCAAAACTTGGTTGTTCCCCACTCCCGCCGTTTAGAGTGGAACATGTGGCTTGCCATGTCCTCCAACCAACACTAGACTCCCATATGTCAGTGTGAGTTCCTCTCATGACCTAAGAAAAGCCGGCGGCAAGTTGGCCCAAAGACTCGCGATCTGAGGACCTGTCTCCTCTTCGTTGTCCTTCTCTTGCTCTTGCTGCTTCTCTTCCTGCAGCCCAGGATCCAAACGCGATATAAAGAACCTCAATGCTCGCTTTCATAGACCCTGGTGTAGCAATTGTTGCAAATACGTTCTCAGCCCACATCACTCAACGGGCAAACAGCCGAGTCGCAAACGAGGCCTGCCATCGCAGCTATGCATGGATAGTCCAATGGTGACTGCGCATGCTATCAAGAGCATCTAGGTCCTCCAGTAGAGAGGTTAAAATAAGGGTACCCTTTTTTTCTGTAGTCTATTTTAGTAGGGGAACCCTCCCCCCAAAAAATGGTGAAAGGGCACTACTGGGGGACCTAGGCATCATCAAATGCCAAATCATGCTAGCAAGTCATGCTTTTTACTCTGTGGATACTGATCCACTGATGGCACACGTTCTACACCGGTCTAGCCGTGTCTTGCAATTGCAGCTTGTTTTGCAGTGCAGTCTCAGAGCCAGCCATTGTCTCCCGCCCACAAATGGCATTTGGTGCGACACACACACACACACACATTGATAAACGTTCAACTCGGCTTGCAAGTTGCTGCCAATCGGGCTTCTAACCCACATGTAGTGGGATTCCTCTGGGGGGGGGCGGGGTTGAAGCGGGCTATTACGAGGGGCACGAGCAAAATGACGTGTGCTCTAAATGGGCTCACATGGAAAACTTGGTGGGACCTCTGAATGTCGAAGAAAAACTTGGGTGGCAGCCCCATGTCCTCACTGAACATGCCTTTGGGCTACCAACTGCCGAGCTGTCCAAAATTACCGAAGGACAAAATCCACCAGTTGGTTTATCCCAACGGGACTTTAGCCATGTCAACGAGTGTTCCACAATAGCATGTAGGATATGTCAACTGGGTCTCTCTCCAAAGCAAGAAACCTACACAATGGCTTCAGTTTCCCTTTTGCTGTCCCTTTCAACCAACTCATCACACAGATGGGTGTGCCTGACCCCAAGTTGGTGGCTTTCCTTTACAAGCCCGAAAAAGGTAGCCTGAACAAAAATCGCCACACTCAACTGCAAAAGCCAGCCGTTTTACCTGGGTGTCTGGACTGGAGATTTTCCAGACAGAAGGATTCCTGGGTTCAAAATGGAAATGGAAGGTACCCATAGACTCGTCAAGGGAACAAAGCACAAAACGACTGGAAACTCGTCAAGCCGTCTGATACAAGCACCCCAAAGTGGTTTGCTTTAGAAGCCCAAAACAAAACGCCCCAAAACCAACCGACGCCCCAGCAGACTCCAAGAAAAGGCGGCGGCAAAAAAAGTGTCACGCCGTGTCACGCCCATCGTCCTCATCTTGCGGCAGCGCCTTGGCCTCCGTGTCTAGGTCGAAGCCGACCTCCCGGGCGGTGTCCTGATGGCGGATCCCTGGATTTCCGGAGGGGTGTGGTGGCCTTTCAAGGATGCCCCCCTAAAAAAAATCAATCCAGGAGGTCACCCCACCCCACCCCACCACCCCGCAAAAAAAAAGGAAGACAAGGTCAAACCAGGTCCTTTGAGATGTAGATTTTAAAGGGAAACCTCCAAGAGAGAAACAAAGGCGGCACAGGGGAAACAAGGGAAGCAACCCACTGCAGGTCCTCTATGCAGGTCTCGGCGTCTTTTCGTTCAGCGGGTGCTTCCGAAGAGGTGGATCCCCAGATTCAGCTTGGCTTCCCTTCATGTTACTATGTTGTCCAAGAAACTTCATGTGTGGACAGTCCCGTGGTTTGCCATTTCGCAACCTTTATTTTTGCTTAGGCCCCTTGAAAAAATGGAACGCATTTGCATTAGCGATAGGTTCGCTAATAAAACCAACCGGGGAAATACGGCCTACTTTCAAGCAAATGGAAGAGGATTTCTCTCTCTCTCTCTCTCTTTTTCCCTTTGTCCTTTCCCAAGGTGTACCTAACCCGATCATTCAATTCATGGATCAAACTGGAAAAAAACTATCATCGGAGAGATCCTGGAACTAAATAGAAAAATAAAAGAAAAAGAAAATAAAAAATAAAAGAAATACACTTTATAATCATTACGACAGAGAATTACCAAGAAATATAAAAAAGGAAAGAAAATAAATGAAAATAAATAGAAAAGAGACGGCGAGAGCCAAATAAAAGATTTATCATCAACCACTTTATCTTTCCAGGTCATATTATTTTACTATATTATTTCATTCACTAGTTAAAAATTGTAATCATAAAGGCTTAGGAATCTATTATTTATTATCTGGATTCATCTTTGGAATCTCCGGTACATTAATATCAGTCCTTATAAGAATAGAATTATATTCATCAGGAAATAGGATTATATCTCCAGAAAACCAGAACTTCTATAATATAAGCATTACATTGCATGGCTTTCTTATGATCTTCTTTTTAGTAATGCCTGGCTTGTTTGGAGGATTTGGAAATTATTTTGTACCTATCTTTCAAGGATCTCCAGAAGTGGTATATCCTAGAGTCAATAATTTTTCTATCATAATTCTTTTACTTTCATATCTTTTCCTAATCCTTTCTTTAATCTCAGAATTTGGAGGTGGTACAGGATGGACATTATATCCACCATTATCCACTTCTTTTATGACTTTATCACCTTCAAGTACAGGAAATCTTATATTAGGATTATTAATCTCTGGTATATCTTCATGTCTTACATCTCTTAACTTTTGGACAACAATTCTAAATCTGAGATCTTATTATCTTATATTAAAGACTATCCCATTATTTCCTTTCTCTTTCTTGATTACAGCTTTCATGCTTTTATTAACATTACCTATCTTATCTGGTACACTTCTTTTAATGTTGGGTGATCTTCATTCTAATACACTTTTCTTTGATCCAATATTTGGAGGAGATCCTATATTCTATCAACATTTATTTTGGTTTTTTGGACATCCAGAAGTTTACATCTTAATAATTCCTGCATTTGGGATCATTTCCATAATAATTTCTGGGATTTTACAGTTAATAATCTTTGCTAAGCAATCAATGATCTTTGCCATGTCATCTATTTCTCTTCTTGGAAGTCTTGTTTGGGGACATCATATGTATACTGTAGGTTTAGAAAGTGATACAAGAGCTTATTTTACAGGAGTTACAATCTTAATATCTTTACCAACTGGTACAAAAATCTTTAATTGGCTTTTTACATATCTCTCCAATCCATCTTTATTACACCTTAGAATTACTTCTGTCTTCTTCTTTCTTCTCTTTTTATTAATGTTTACTATAGGTGGGTCAACAGGAATAATTCTAGGAAATGCTGCAGTGGATCTAGGATTACATGATACATATTATGTTGTAGCACATTTTCATTTTGTTCTTTCTTTAGGAGCTATAATTGCTATCTTCTCTGGAATAATCTTCAATGGAGAAAAGATTGTTGGTACTAAGAATTTATTACTTTCATCCTCATGTACACTCTCTCTTTATCATTGTAATTTAATATTTATTGCCATTCTTCTTACCTTTTCCCCAATTAATAGTCCCACTATCATGAACACTGTTCGACCGAAACGAAGAGCTGGGCTAGACCACAGTTGACAGTGATATTTCGGCGAGTGCTGTTTGTTGAAGCAATCCTCTGGTTGGTGCAAGCAGAATCCAAAGAAGCAACACCCATTTCCAGGGTTCCGCTATACAAAGAGACAAACCCGTGTAGTTGATGGTCAGGGCTCTCCAAATATGAGTCTTTATCATGGCTGTCTAAACTCCCCAAACACTCATGACCACCCCTAACCCCAAAAGGGTGTCTTTTGATGTTGGCCACATTTGGCGCTCGAGCACAAGCTTCGACAAGCTTCCTTTCACTTCCGCTCCTCCTCGGGCTTCTGTTGCTCGGGTTCAGGCCTGAGAAGATGCCAAACTGATTTGGCCAGACTGAATCAGACTCAAATAGTTTCTGGGCTGTCCTCAAATCCCCCGCTAAAAGTTTAACTTTTAGTGGGGTTTTCCAATTGCTAAAAAGCTAAGGGGATGGCTGCGAGCCACCAAGGTTTCAGGGACGCACTCGTGTGGGTGTGGTTCCCCAAATAGCAACCTCCATCGATGTTCATGAAATCCTCCAATAAAATGGGGTCCATGACCATCCCTACCAACCAGGTAAAATAAGAATACTGTAGCACATGGAAAACATTAGGCAATGCTCAAAAGCTCATCCATCCCTCGAAATCTGTACATGTTAATCCATTTCCTGAGATCAGACCCTGTGCCCAGTACACCCCATGCTCGGTCTAGACCCAGCGGCCACAAAACTATTTGCATCCACGTGCAAAACCGTTGCGGCCGGGCACCTGATCGACCAACCCGCCACGGATCACAAAGCAATGCCCGGGAGAACACCCGAGTCATTAAAAAAAAAACAGTATTAAAATGGTCTACCCAGAACCATGTAAAGCATTAAGAAGGCGGCCGCAGCTATGTATGGTTGGGATTGTCCCTTACTAACCTAACCATCTACCCGGGTTTTGATTGTGGCTCACCTCGAGCCTTTCCCGAGACGCCCCTCACGAGCGGTGTTCCGCTTCGGGCAGCGTCCACGGCTCCCCTGGTAGCAACCCGGAGTGATGGTCACCAAGTCCTCCATCAAAATGGGGGCCATGACTCCAATGACCATCCCCACCAACCAAGTAAAAAGCGATGAATTGCGGATGCCACAAAAAAAAAGGAGGTGCATCAGTTGGTAGGTGGTTTATCAAGCGGCACTCATCCCTACCAAGCAGTTAAAAACAAATACTGCGGATTCCACAAAAACACTTGCAGTTGGTGGGTGGGTTTCGTAGGGTACTCACAGGGTTTCAGTACTGCTTGGGGCCGGCGCTGCTCCTCTTGCTTCTCGTTCTTGGTTCCTTCGAGTTGGGCATCGTCCTGGCCGACACTAAACCCCCCGCGACGGCAACCCGACGATCCGAGGAGCTCCAGAAGCAGATGGCTGTGGGTCAAAAATAGGGTCACCCCAAAATGGCTTGCCCTGGTAAATGGACACATGGACTAAAACCTGCGGTTCCCGGGTGGTGTAATTTTGACCCATACCCAGATCGAGAGGGGCGGTTCTCCAAAGCAAAGCGAATTGAAAGGTTGGTTTTTGAAGGGCAATTCCGGGGGAGGGGGGGCACAAAAAACAAGGGATGGAAAGGCCGATGAGCTTGCGAGTGGGACCACCAGCCCTTTGTCAACAATCCTGCTGGTGCGATAGGTAGGGAATGAGCTGGACCCTGGAATGAACCCAGGGATTCCCCAACAAAAGGCTGATACTCAATTAAAGAATACAAACATAGCCCCGGGGATTCCCATGTAAAACAAAAAACACACACACACACACGGTTGGACGGTTTTTCTCGGGGTCATTCCACTTCTCTCATTTCGGCCGGAATTAGGACCCCGGCAAAAAAAATATGCCCGGTTAGTGGAAAACAAAGGGAACCCCAAAAAAACAAAAAAAAGGAACGAATTCTGAGAAAGATTCCCTGCATCTCTCGAATCCACCGATCGCCAGCAAGCGCCCCCCTCCCCCCCGCGCCATGGCTGGCCTCGATCTCCTCGGTGACATCTCGCAGACCTTCGCCCTCGCCCATGCCGGTGCCTGCCGCCCACTCGGTCTTGCCATCGCCTGACACGGAGCTCGGTGGAAACCACTTGGGACCCACTTGAAACCCAGGGACACCCTATGAATAAACTGGGGTTGAAAAAATATGAACTAAAATTTAGTTGAAATTATTGTTGTACGTGCCTAGGTCCTCCAGATTTGAGAGGTTCGAACAAGGGTACCCGATTTTTTTCAGTTTTGTCTATTTTAGCAACCAAAAAAAGGGTTAAAAAGGGCACTACTGGGATGCTAAGGCCTCAACCCCACACCTTCTCACATAAACATGGACATTCTGAGGAGGTGCCCCGGAGATGTATAGAAAATACAATAACTATGTTGGAAGCGCACATAGCATCAAAGGAACTTCCGTAGTGCTGAACTAAATGAACGCATAACCCGTGCATAGATGCACCGCGAGTGAAATCTATCCATCTATCTATCTATCTATCTAAATAACTATCTATCTATCCCTCCATATATCAAGTTTGCTTCTCCAGCTAGCTACCTAACCTTCCGAAACTGCTGCGCCTTTCACTAGATCTGGACCGCGCACTGCGACAGTGTTGCGGGCTCGCCGCGAACTCGTGTCGCCAAAAGAGCGACCGAGACCGCGCCCCTTTCTCCGAGACCGCCTCCGTCAGGCGTCCCCGAGATGGACATACCCATCAAGCAACCCCATGAAAGGGAAAATGGAACTATAACTCACTTGCCCAAAGGACCCAGAAATAAAAGGTTAACCTTTTAGGGCCATGACTAAAACTAGACCAAAGAGGAGAAACCCAAAAGGTCAAAAGGTCGATTCGCTTTGGGCAACTGAGATAAATGGAATTCCAGGGGTCCTCCCCCAATTCATTTTTTGTTTTACGCACACCAAAAGGCGGAGCCCAGTCCGAAGGCCTTCTCCATCGCCCTCCTTCTCTTCCTCCTTTGAGTTCAGGCCCTTCTCCTACCCACCCCATTCCCGTCGCAAGCCAAGGGCTATCGAAAAGTACCACTTTTGGACGGCAATGTAAGAGGGGAACATACCTGGATCTCCAGTTGCTGCCTCTTTTTCCGGCAACTGCAATTGATCTTTTGGTAAAATGTCTGGAAGAAAGCGAGCGCCCAAATCACGTGCCGAAGATGTGGACATCATGATCTTGGTTCCCGACTGGTCCAATTGGGACATGGAGAACCCCATGAAGTTTCCTTGGGACACAAAGGGAACATTTGGGTGTCTCTGTTCCTAGTGGACCCCCAAAAATGGTGGTTCTCCGCTTTTAAGACCACAAAACAAGGGCCTCCTCAAAAACAAGACACACCCATGCCTGCATATGTTTCTCCTTTTTGGGGTAGAAGTACAGCGCGTTTGTCCTGTACATTACTTCTGAAAACGCGGCAACGGCTTGGATGTAACGCGGTTCGGTCTCCATCATGAAGCACACCAGTCGCAGCAGCTCCAACCTCATCCGACACGTGTTGCCTCAAAAATCGGGGGACCCCAACCTCCATTGGCCAAAGGGAAAAAGGAAACATATGTCCACGTAGTGATAGACGGCATGTAAAACCAACAGGGAAAAATGAAACATATGCCTCTTTGGTGTCCCTTTAAACACCCTCCAAAAGGGTAGCCTCAAAAAACAGCTAACCGTATGTCCACGTAGTGATACATTCCATGTAAAAACAACAGGGAGAAACGAAACATAGTCGTAAGCAAATGCAAGACAACACGGGCGTAGTTGTCCTTTTGCTTTCCCTTTAAACACCCTCCAAAAGGGGTAGCCTCAAAAAACAGCTAACCGTATGCCCACGTAGTGATAGATTCCATGTAAAACCAACAGGGAGAAATGAAACATATTCGTAAGCAAATGCAAGACAACATGGGTGTTGTTCTCCCTTTGGTTTCCCTTCAAACACCCTCCAAAAAGGGGTAGCCTCAAAAACAGCTAACCGGAACCCAGATGAGTCAGAATCAAAACCGGTCGGTACTAAAATGGATTTCCGCATCAATTTATGGCAAGGCGACTATCCCTGACTAACCTGCATCTAGCCGGGTTTTGATTATGGCTCACGTGGGGTTTGCTTGGGGACCACCAAATGGGTGCGTTGGCTTTGGTTTCCCTTTAAACACCCTGCAGGGTACCCTCAGAAAAAGATCCACCCGTAGTTATAGACAATCGCGGCAAATCGACAAACAATCGCAACACATTTGTTAAACATAGCCATCAACGTCGTCCCCGGTCCCCGGCATCCGATGCGGCATGTTCTAGGGCGAGCAACAAGATATTGCGTAAAGCCCTAGGTCCAAGATGTGAAATATGTGTTTTGCCCAGGCTACTTGGACCCCGTGGGGGTGAGACAAATAGACTCAGGGAGACTCGTTCACCAAAGTCCAATGAACAACGAAACGAAACCATGCAACGGATGACAACGAAAAAGGTTGTCCGCCCGATTTGAGGGCTGACCAACCGGGAACCCTTGTTGGAACCTCCGAATGGCGTGTCAAAACAAGAAACCTTCCAAATGGGTCTTGCCTTTTGGTTTGCTCTGAAAATCCAACTCGCAAAGAATCCAACTTGCTCGGACACATCTAAAGGAAATGGCCGTGCTGTCAGCACCAGAAATAGCAGTTGTAACTTGGAGCTAACCTCAATGGGTCTTCCCCTGAAGAAACACATGGTAAAAACTGGTGAAGTCTTGGAGCCAGGGTTTAGCAACCTGAGGGACCTCATCTTGTGGCTTGTCCTAAAGCTTCTGATGTCCTTGCTTAAGCCGGGTCAAAAAGTAATCCAAGCTGACTTGGGCTGCCAGGAAACCAAGCTGTTGCCATCCTGCTTGCTCATGCTACTCAGTCACATGGATCTGCCTGAAAAATCAAGGGAAAACCAACCAAGTCCTTGATGTCCTCGCGGCTTGCTTTTTGAAACCTGCCAAAAGGGATTGTACCCCCCCCTCCCTCGCCCCAACAAAAGAAACTACAGTTACAGTGAGATCTTGCCTATGAGTTGTACAAGTTCCCCCCTCATCATCCCACCAAGAGAAACATATGCATCAAAAAGGGCAATAAGCATATGTCATCGGCTACAGCAATTACGTCCCCACTGGAAAAACAACAACATGGCATTTAAAACATCAAAAACTAACAAACACTGCTTGCAGATGTTTTCCACGCGCCTCTCTTCAGAAACAATCGCCCGCGATTGTAGAACCCAAAGGCACCCCGCCTTTTGCCAAACCCCAAACCGGGGTTCCAGGCGTCACCTGTGAGGCCGCCAGCATGGCTTGCAGACCTCCCAGCAGCAAGGCCCTTGACAGTTGCAGGATCCTCGGGGCTCCGAGATCGAGTCTTCTTTTGTTTTAAGGTTGCACACCCACGGAACCCAACAAATGGCCGCGACGAGCCCTTTTTTTAAGGTTTTTGGTCCAAGTTGGCACCCGTTGCGGTGAGCTCGTGATTCTTCCACTTGGCCCCAGATGCGGTGAGCTGATGCGGTGTGTTAAGAATGGCACCCTTTTTGGGATGGAACAAACAGTTTGCCGAACCCAAAGGTTCGGAACGCATCCCAGGTTTCGTGCTGCCCCCAGAGGCAGGTGTGGCACGAAGGGGGCGAAACAAAGGGGCAGTCACAAAGAGAAAACAAACAAAATGGCAAGGTGCAGTGGATGAAATTGGAGGGCATACTTGCAGCTCTCTCTCTCTCTCTCGCGCATCAGAGGTAAGCTCCTCGCAGCACCCATGCTTGCAACCACAAAAAACAGAAACGTGTGGAGCAAGTTGGAGCTATGATGCGGCTACTTTATCGCGGGCCGGCCCAAAAAAACATGTTGTTTCTCCTCCACGGCACTTTGCGGTAAAAGCGGCGTTTGGCACTTTGGCAACTTGAGGAAAATGGAGTCTTAGCAGCCGCAAGCCTTGAATACATTAGCATGACAACATCAGATACCCCCCGTTCCATGTTGGTGGTTTCGAGAGCCAAGGTAGTGGCAAATAGTTGTTATGACAAGTACACAACCGCCATTTGGTCAAAGGAATTTTCTCAAGTTTATTTGCAGAGGGGTACTTGTAGGATTCAGTCTTTGAAGAATGGTTGATGGCTGCCTGTCAATGGAGCCTTGACCACATATCCCCTCCAAAAAGAAATGGGTATCCGAAGCCGCGTGCTTCACTGCCACCAGGGGCCCGTTTCAGCGGAGTCCTCCAACTTCCAGATCCAAAGGCTTCCCACCAGGGACCGAAAGGGTGGCATTGCTAAGGATGGCGAAAGAATCATGGTTGGGGGGAGGGAGGGGAGGGGGAGGGAGCCTAAGCCCTAAATAAGGCCTTATTACTGTAAGGGCTTAATAGGGGCTGATTTGGGCTCCCTCCCGCTCCCCTCCCTCCCCCCCAGCCATGAAAGAAGGGTGGCTTCAACCTCATTGAGCAGTGGTGATGTGGCGCAAAGGCCGAACATGTTGCTTGTTCAACAAGCCCAAAGACTATTACCGCCCAAAAGCCAACAACTTGAACAGCTATGCAGCAAATCCTCAAACGATGCTTTAGGGTTGACTTGCTGTGTTGTTCGACTATATTCCACACATCTCTTCGAAGAAAAAAAAACAAACGAGATGCGGGTCATTGTGAGGGTCCCTAGGTGGCTGTGTTGCGCCTGCGTTCCATCCTTGTTTCTTTGCATGTGCTCGAAGGAAGCCGGTTTAGTCATTTCTGGAGGGGAGAACATCCCCCAAACCCCTGCCAACCAAGAATGCAACAGAGGGTCGAAGCTGGCTCAACTGTCAAGCCCCCCCCCCCCGACGTCCAAAAAGAACAGAAGGCAAGCGAGAGGAACCATTTAGACCCAGCTTTGTGAAACCGCAAGGAACCCTTCAAGGGACCATGCCTAGGGGATCCAACATCCAACGCCCTAGTTTTGATAAATGAGCCATGGTGAAACTCACTTGTTCCCTCAAGAGGGAATCCCCTGGTATTTGTCGTCTCTCCCACTAGAAGAAATTTGGAGCAAGCCGCACATGCGCAGCCATTTCGTCAAGGAAGCATGGTAATTGAGCAAACCTTGTTCCATGGAAGAGCCCTACACGTTTTGGTCTCAAATAGAATCAAAAAAAAAACGGCGGGGAGGGGGGAAGGGATTGCCCTTGATAGGCACCAAAACCCCGGCTTGCGAAGTAGGACCAACGGCAGAATTCTGGTAACTGGCAAGTCAGCCTTATGTCTTCCTGGCGTGTAGAAACCCATGCAGAAGGCAGCGAGCCGGCCTTTGCCTGGTCCTTCAACTTTCCAAAGCCGTCGACCCGATGCAAACCAAGTTAACGTTTGCCGGTACGTGGGCAAACAGTCATTCTTCGAAAGAAAGAAGAAGCTAAAACAAGCCAAAGGCGGAAGAGCAGCCAACTCCTGCTCAGCACGCTGCTGAATTGATAGGAGTGCTTGAGGAGCTAAACCCTTGCTTCTTGAAGCCATTCCCAGTAGGCAACCAAGCAGGATCACCCTTTAAAGACAAAAGGGACAAATCCTGGTGACCTAATGTTGGTCCCATATTAACCCAGCCCAGTTTATTCACAGGGGAGTGTTCCCCCCAAAAGTGGTCTGATTCCACTCACTCAACCCAGGAACACCCCCCTAATATGGGGTTGATTGGTATGCGGTCAACATTCGTCCTCCAGCAACCCTCCTTAACCTCTCACCCAAACATGGAGACCCCGCAAAGCGAAAGGAACAAATCTTGGTGACCTACTCTGGTGGCAACAGGGATCAACTGAGGAAGATGCTTGGGGCAAGTCGAGTCGAAGGCCGGAGATCCAGAGATCGAGAGATCGAGGGCCCTGGCTGCTGGGCGAATGGTGACAAAGGCGATGCACAGGCGGGCGGCAGTTGCTGCACATGGAGCCTTGGGCTCCGCAAAAACCGACAGACCCTTGGCTAGGTCCTCCAGTAGAGAGGTTAGAATAAGGGTACCCGATTTCCTTTCTGTAGTCTATTTTAGTAGGGGAACCTCATCCAAAAAAGGGGACCTAGTTGGGGACCGGGCGGTGGTTGAAATGACCACTTCTGTGATACAAACATACCTTCCCAAAAGGTCTGCCCCTCAAAAGGGGGGGGGGATTCCCGATCGCAGAAGTGGGTTAAAACCCATTGTGGGATCAACAAGCCTGTTTGGGGAAGTCTTTCGGTATGTGTCGAAATACTCCGCACCACCTAAGACACCCTGGAATGACGATTCGCCTCTAAATACATTGCTTTCCCATGGTGCAGGAGTTCGTGTCCTTTTGGTTTCCCTTGAAAACCACCCCTAAGAAGGGACCCCTACCGGGATGCTTCCCCAAACGGAGCCCAAGGTGGCCAACGCCAGCCATTGCACAAGGCAGGGGGGTGACCACTTGGAGGTCCACCCCAAATCAGGTTGCAGCAATGCTTACTGGGGAAAACCGGCGGTTGGCTCCCCAAGCTATACCCTCCATAGCAAGTGGGTTGGACATCCCAAGGTTGCTTCCGCAATGGGGTTCCTAGGCGTCTTGTCGGAAAATTCAATGGCACCGGTAAACGATTCGCAAGCAGTCCGATCTAACACTCAATCTTCAACCAAACTAACCTTTTAAACAAACTATAGTGGCGAATCAACTCAGCAAACAAATTGGCTCGTTGTCCCGGCTACGATCCTTCTTCCGCCTTCCGTGAGCGCCCCAAACCGAACGCCAAACCCAGTCCCCTGATCGCAACCTGCTTTGCTGTAGCCAAGATGGGCGCCGTTTCCGTGGTGTCCGATGAAGTCTGTAGGTCAACTGAAAAGGGCGACCCGTGCAGCTTGTGGGGGTGGGTGGGTGGGTTGGTGTGAAATAGGGAAAAGTCGTCTATCCTTGCCGCATCCCAAGAAAAATCAACACTCAAAGACTTAAAGAGACTCAAAAGATGATTGGAACACAACATGAGACGCGTGTTTATTGGAGAAACATGAGGAACGTATCCAGCCCTCTTGAAGTCTCTCACAGGAAAGAAACCAACGCACAACCACGGATCCACTCCGCCCACCCGCAGTGTCCGTTGACCGACGGGTGTTGCCGCCCCTCGCCGTCTTTGGCCAGCGTCTGCTCGTCTGAGAGCCGTACCGAAGCGCGTCGTGGATCTGTCCCAGGGGCAGGATGTCTGTCCTGGGCGCCGACTGAGATACTCAAAACCCGACACTGGGGCTACCCAAGGCCATAAAGGTGCAACACCCATTGACCACACCCATTATGAATGATTGGGATTGTCCCCCCAACAACATCCCAATGTTTAGCGGTTCTAATTGTGCCCAGCTGGCATGGTCCCTGCAAAAACCTCGCTGGGTTGCAAAATGTCCGTATGAAGTCACGTCTGGATCAGGTGCTTGCAAGTGCGAGCGCAAGCACATATTTGAAGCCACAAATGATTTCGCTGGCTGGCAATGTCAACCGCCAGCCGCCCGTGCTCCAAAATCAGCATCAAAAACTAACTAATTGTGTTTCAAAGCTCCTGCATGTTGGCAGGTGCTTTTTGGGGCTGACCAGCACTGGCAGCAAGGACCGATTCTGATGCCAAACCTTCATTGATTGCTGCGCACAAATTGTGTTGAGTTGCTGGCAGTCCCAAACAAGCCTACCTCTACCGACTTCTCCAAGCAACTAGGTCACCTTCAGAACAACATGTTTCCATAGTCACAACCTCCTTGCTGAGCCAGTTCTTACGTAGGTTGAGAGAAAACAAAAAACAACATAGAATGAAGCAAGGACAAAACAGCCACATCCATCCTGTTTCAGGCTTTTGTTCCTTCGAACAAAACAAAACGCATGGAATACCGGGCAACCACCAACCGATAGGGGCCTACCCGAGGGCCGAGGCGAGCGAGTCATGAGAAAATCTAGGTAAGGATCTGATTGCTAGGATTGTTTTCTGCAAACACTGCATTTATAAATATATCATGTTCGTTTTGGTACCCGCTAGGCTGGATTAAGGAGAATCAAAAGGAGAACCACAAATTCGGCAGTCCCCCCTAGTTTGACACATGCCCATGTGTTCATTTCAGCGGACCATGTTGGGCATCGTGTTTCTTTCTTTTATGGGGGGAGGGGGTCAAATGTCCTCTCCTAGGTCCTCCAGTAGAGAGGTTAGAATAAGGGAACCCTTGTTTCTGTACGTAGTCAATTTTAGTAGGGGAGCCCTCCCAACCAAACAAGTTGGTAAAAGGACACCTAGCTGGGGACCTAGTCTCGGTTCCGCAGTTTGATAGGTATCCCTTTCGCACCCCGCGACGCGATTGACGCGATCG